ATACAGGTTATTATGATTTTACAATATAGGGCTGTGCACAATTTAAAAGAAAAAATATTCGAGTTTTTACTATTGTCATTATTCAGTCATTATTACATAGAAAAATTACATTAATAATAGTAGGCAGTAAGTAAATATATTATATAAATACTCTGTATTAAACCCTATAATGCATTAAATCCTTATTTTAATTCACTAGCGAATTAAAATAGAAATGACGGAAAACAATGAGATGCAGACTAAACCAAGCTAATGTGAAGCGTACCACGTTGTAGACGGGCGGTAGAGCGCGGCGCGGCGTCTGCGCCGAGGTCGCCTGTTGATCGAAACATTGACCTATTTCACGCGTGCGCGTGTGAGGCAACGTCGCGGCGTCGCCACGATATATACCTATTGGAACTCTAGTGTGGCGTTGTCATCTGAAGCGTCATTCACACAGCTTCGGGTTAGGACCTCAAAGTTACAGATCATTTGAATTCGGTAGCTCCATAGAAACGATTATTTCTATTCGTGTTTACACATTAGGCAAATACGTGAATGTGCATTAATTGTTTTTTTTTTTTATTATCTAAAAGGTGCACAAACTGTAAAAATCCTTAATACACTCTTTTTTAAGAACCTCGTATATTGTATCTTTAATCCTGGGAATTCTTCGGCTCCTGTCAAAGTTTGAATACCAGTGTGAGCAATTACAGAAGAAAATCCCTTTGAAAGTGCATTATACGGGATAATTTTGCAGCTAAGACGTGAAGATGACTTTCCTGTTGATAACAAGCGGTGGGATAAAAGGTAGCCGAAGGCATTATCGTGTGATTGTTGAAATAAAATCTGTCATACTGTATTCAATTATATAAAACTACATATCACATTATAATAAAACGTCGTTCCGGTGGTGTAATTTATTGAATAGCACTGACGACATATAGATACGTAATGCACGTTACATAAAATTGGCAGTTGAGCCTGGAAACGTCTGACAAAAATAGCTTACACACACTTTGTATAAACTTGTTCACATAAAATCATTATGTGAACAAGTTCATACAAAGTGTGTGTAAGCTATTATTTTCTCTATCAGTATACGGATTCGGAGTTGTATGGATGGTGCTTTATTAGTTTTAAAAGTTATAACTAATATGTAATACGTGCAACATGTCTATACCTAGGTAATTGACTTCATATGAAGTAGGTCGTCAGCTTTGTTTGCCATTCTTAGCAATATAAAAAATATTATATCATACCACGTACCTACATTGGACACTGCTATTATTATTCTCGTTGTTACCCAAAAATCTATAGTCTTACATTTTATGCGAAATATATATATATATATATACACACAATTTTTATATTTTTTATATATATATATATATATATATATATATATATATATATATATATACAATACAGATTGAAAATACAATTAACAATTACTTACATTTAGCATGTGTGTGTTATGTAAGTGTGACCATGGACAGTTCCGAATTTGTGAAGAATTAAAGTTGAAAAAAAGTAGATTTCCACATATTTGTTATTATTCGTATTTTTATTGCAATTTTTGGGCATTAAACAATTTATTTTCATTAAATGTGGTAATAGTTTTAAAGTTTTATAAGAATACCAAAATATTGCATTTGAAGGGGTAAATGTTTAAATCGTATTTTTGTAGGCATAAAATGTGTAATTATTGTTATTCTGTTATTACTGGACTGTACACGTAACAGTTAATGATTATAAAACAAAGACGTACCCGGTATAGAATTTTCGAAAAGAATATATCTATGTTACTCACTAATATTATAGCTTTATATTGGTGAAAGATTTTCAGTTAAGTAGTTTTTTAAGTTTATCCATCTGAAATGGACAAACAATTTAAGAATTAGGGGAGACCGAGGAAAACTGAACCAAAGGTAGGTTGAAACAATACAAATTTCTGGAAATCTAAAAGCACTAGCAAGTTGGTAACTTTGCTAATTTTATGTGTGTGTATTCGTTCATGCACCATGATCGACGTTTGCTATTAAATATCAGGTGAAAAAAATACATAAAAGTAAGTTTTCATCATAATAATATCTTTATCAAAATTTTTATTAATTAACTGTTTTAGAGTGTATTTGTGAATGAATCTAAGATTTAAACTGCAATAAAGATTTTGCATGACTGTGTAGTGTAAAAAAGTCAGATATCCACATTATTATTATTCGTATTTTTGTTATGCATTGGTATTTTGTTTTGGGCGACCATAACAAAAAAAGAATTGTTTTTTAAAAACTATATTTGATCATTAGGACATGGAATGGTGAAGAATAATTGTCCAAAAACCAGAAGTCATTTATAAAAACAGATCAGTGCCATGACTCGACAAAAAGAAAACATTGCATTTGAAGGAAATTGCATTCCACCAATGTTTATAAAAACGTTTTAATGATATTTATTCGTGATGGGCCATCTGGTATAAAATGATGATGATTTATATTTATTGTTATTTTAAAAATTAAGTTATAAAGATATTGTAGTTCCGTATTGTAACGTCACATACTGCTGTAAAGAACATTAATTTCTGTAAGGAAAATGGAATTGTTTTGTTAACATTTCAACCATATTTATAACTTCAGCCCATGGATCGAGCTATCTTTGGCCCTATGAAAAAAGCTGTCAACAGGACATGTGATAACTGGATGCGCTCACACCCAGAAAAAGTTAATACAATATATAATATTTCAGGGATTGTAGAAATAAGCTAAATGAACAATGGATCCAGTGTATGGAGTGTAAGGCATGGGCACACCTGGAATGCATGAAGGCAAAATATCTTATGTGTGCCATAACTATTTGTTTGACTAAGATTATTTTATTTTATTTTTTTTTCTATAAATTTCAGTGTATACTTATTTGCTATTTTTTTGTTTCTAAGATCTCAATATTGTAACTATGAGACTGATATACAAATTATAATTGTAACTTTAATATAACATTTACTTACAAATCTGTGTCTCTTAATAATGGATTGCTTCCAGATAATAATTGAACTCTCCTAGACCAGTGTTTCAATTTATCTCAGTAAGAGGGGAGTTTTTAGAGTTTATCCATTTGAAATAGCAGTTTTTGTCCTAAACATTTATTAGTTAGTTAAACAAGGTTTAATTTAGTATAATACAAGTTAAATTTAAATGGGTCTCAATATAAAAAATGGTTCAATCGGTCTCCCCTACATATTTCCTCTCTATATCAGTATTACTAATATTCAGTATAGATAAAGCGAAAATTATATTTTAAATATTTATTTCAATAATTTATTTATACAGAATAGAAATATATTTTCTGTATACATTTATATAAATGTGTTGAAAGTTCAGTAGAATAAATGATTAAACAATTCATTTACAAGCAAAATCAGAAAGATCCTTGAGAGACTAACGTTCAAGCTGTTATCACTTAATTTTATTAGGTACTTACTGGCACGTACTTATCCAACGTAGCTACGTAACTAAAGTAACTAAGTAAGCAATTAAAGTTATCCCTATCCCACTACAATTTGAAACGCGAAAGTTTGTGTAGATGTTTGTATGGAGAGATCTTTGTTACTCATTCCCACAAATACTAATAAAGGTTATTTTGTATTCTAATTTAGAATATAATTTACTTACTACTTTGTATATCGATTTACGCGAGCGAAGCAGCTTTAACTAATGTTATATATAAATGTAAAAGTGAATTTATTTATTTATATTTTACTCCGTGGCGTCATAATAGCATTTCTAAATATCATGAAATACTTAGTTTTGGATATGAACTAGGTCATAGACTATATATATTTTTACCTTCGTTATGCGGACTATAATGCAAGAAAAACTAGGAATATTTTTTGTTGTATCATACCATAATGTATATTAATTGATCGGTTTTAAGGCTACTTTAAATCAAAAATAAATGTATTAATAAAAATCTTTTACTGACTGTGGCAGTCAGTCTTAAATGAAATTAGGAAAATGAAGTTCGAGTAATTTCAGTTCAATAAAAAAAGGATTATTTAAATAAAAAAAAAAATGGATGCAAATTGCTATTAAATGTCAAGTTTCACGATAAAAAACTGATGTTGTAGCTAAATCAAAGATTATGAAAACAATAAATTTGAGTACTTCCTTAGCCATTTCCTATTATAAAGATCTATAATTAACATCAGATATTGCAGCCACGTTAAAGGTCTGTGTCCACTATACTGTAATATTCATATATTACAGTATAGTATCTTGTCGATATATGCAAAAAAATTGTATTGTGTTTTTTGTCCGTCAGACTGCTCTTATATCAGTCTATATAGTAAAATATTTTTGCAGATAAATACGTATGCGAAAATGTTCAACGTGAATAATGTACTCTATATGATAGAATCGGTATCGACACGTAATTCATCGGGTCCTGAACGGGTATGAAAACAGCTATAAAAATAAATGGATATAGAATGGTAATGGTCTGTTATAGTTGGCATTTATGTACCTCAAACGGTCATATTTCCTCATACGGCTACGATATGACACGGTGTAGTGAGCACAGAGCTTAAATGTACTATGATTTGCGTGCAGAAAACATCGCTTGTGTAACAGAAATAATAAAATGTATTAAATAATGTAGATCCATGTCTAGTAGGAAAAAATAAATAGAAATGTAAAGTAACAGGAAATACGACCGAGAGTTATTATATTTATATATTTTTATTATATATATAATTGTCATAACATATTAAACGTTAAGCAATTATAACATAATATAGAAGTGAACTTTTAAGAGACATAAGTATATGAACCTTACATTTGTTGGATAATATTCTGTAATATTTACCATTATTTAATTTCCAATCAAAATAATTAATTCTAAGTAAACATTTATTTGTCAGTTTTCAGTACGGAAAAAAAGTTTTCAAAATGGATAGGATGAAACTACGACTACGGAGAATTTTAAACAATACGGTTAATTAACAGATAATTTTGTATTCCACTCACCTGGATGAGGATGTGGATGAGAGTGTTCCGCCGGTGGCTGCATCGAGGACAGAGCTGATAGCGGAGTGTAACGGGAACCATCTTCCCGGGAGCATCCCTCCTATGACATTCATATTTTGTCAGTTGATTAACATTACTAAGTTTGTAAATTACATTAATTTGTATATACTGTTACCTATACTATAAATATAGATGCTTCTTTAAAACATCTTGGGATTCTAAGCAAAAAGAGGAGATTCTCAATTTGTCTGTAGGTATTTTTAAATGTGACACGACATCTTTGCCCAATACTAAACTGATTTTGATTTTTTTTTGTATTCGATAGGATTTACTTTCATTTTGGGCTCAGGTAAATTTAATGATGATTAAAGTGGAACTTCTTCTGAGGCAATGTTTATTATTTTAAGTAATTCCGAGATATGTATTTTTTTATTTCCTTAGTAGATTCTAATTTACCATTAGCACATAATTTATCACAGTAGGGTGAGCAACATTTATTCATTATTTTTCAAACTCGTAGCTAGAATAGAAAGTGGGAACTGTCACCTACAAACATGTAGAGAACAGAATACATTGTTAGCTCGTAACCAGCCAATAATTACGGTATAACAATGAAATTAGATAGTGGTGAACGCTACTTTTTACATAAACTTCGAAATTTACCAATACAACCAAGTTACGAGTGATACTCCTTTATACCCAGGTAAAGAATAGTAAAATAAAATTATAAAATGACTAATCAAACTTATTTTCTCTACTAATAATCGCTAAAACTAAATACCTAATCGGCAACACTAACTCAATATTCGCAGATTATGCGTAAGTAGTTCGAGTCCCTGATGCTTCTGAGAGTTTAACATAACATTAATAAGGTTTAACGCGTCAGACGATGTAATCTGCGTCAAGGGTAACACGATGGATACTCCTTTCACCCGTAAATCGTTACGCCCCAATTGATAAGCATCTCGCATTCGACATTCACCTTATAAATCTCTCTCAAAGGGTTTACTTTTCCCTGCAAACTTTCAGGAGGTAAGCGATGAAGTATAATGTGTGGATGAGGTCCCGAGGCGTGTTTACATAGAACTTACTTCATTATTGAGTATTAATGAGACCCAAAGCGCCAGGGGATACACCATCTTAATTACGTAGGAGTTTTACATGGGGCAATTTGCTGCCAGCCGTAAGGACATTTGTAATCATATTGCTGACTTGAAGATCCCCCATTTACAAAAAGATTTAGTTATTAACGGGATCAATAAAGATTAATATATTAATCAATAGCATACCTTTTCGCAGTTTGCTGTAGCTGTTGTTTGTGTATGGCTGGTAGAGGAAATGCGATACTGCATCGCTGTGCAAAAACCTTCGTGATGTGTTGAATATACTCCAGTTATAGTAACATCGGTATCCTGATTAACTATAACTTCGACTTTTTGTTTTCTGTCAGCCGTAGAGGACTCTTCTATTTCTTTTTTTGGCTCTTCAATCTTTGTTTCCGACTTAACGCCGGAACTTACCCCGTTTTTTGGCTTTTGAGAAAAAGACTCATCGCTGCATGAATCTGAAGTGGAATCATCCTTACTAGATTTAGGAGACCGTTTTTCATAGCTGGCAGCAAGAATAGCAGTTGCATTCAAACTAGCCATGCGTTTCTGTACGACCATGTCCTTTAAGTCCATTACTATTTCATTTCTATTACGTTTTTTCTTCACAGGCACACCAACAGTCTTTTTCATTTTAACAGGAGATTTTTCAATATCCGATTTCATTGAAGACTTAACAGACGCTTTCTTCTTTTCGGGACTAGAGGATTTCTTTTTAGTTTCTAACTCACTATCTTCACTAGAAGAAGTGGATGATTTTGGATCCCAATATTTACCAGCACTTCTGATACCTGGTACTCCCCGTAGACTTCGTTGAGGGGGGTTATCATCAGAACTTTCTGAGCTTTCATCTTTTTTCTCCATCCTATTTTCATATTCAGACTCAGACGTACTCTCTTGCTTCTCTGTTTCTTTTGGTTTAATATCTTTCTTTTTTATCACAGCGGGTTTAGATGTACCAGGTGATATTTGTCTATCAATAGTTTTCATTAAACCTAACTCCATATGAGTACGACTTTCATTTTCGTATAAGCAATGCACTTTTGCAATAGCATTAAGAGATGCCATTCTATGTTTTTTTGGTCCTGTCCACATTGATAAGAGTTTTAATCTTCTTTTACTGGGTTTTTCCCCTAATAATATTGACTGATCCTTAAGATCACTATGAGAATCTTTAGACAGTTCTTTTAATTCTTTTGACGTTGACTTTTTACCACTATCAGTTGTCTTTTTATATTTTTTAGTCTTCGTTTTCTTGGGTTTAGGTGTATCAGATTCACAAAATTCTTTGGTGTCATTATCATCATTAGACTCGCCAATGCTCTCGTCTGAAGAAGTATACTGCAAACTTTTTGTATTAAGAGCAAATTTAGAAAATTCTATCTCACCATCTGATAAAATCATTTTCTTTTGTTTTTTAGATTTCCCTGTAGATTTTTTGGTCAAACTAGTTTTGACAGGTTTTTCATTTTTATTTGGTTCTTGCTCCAAGAACTTAGTTGGGCTGAATGGTTTTCCTGTTATGCTAGATTTTCGGGCAACCATTTTATAGGATTTGCTTATAATGGGTTTTGGTTTATCATCCAAGTCTTTTTCGTCGTTAACAATATTAGTATTTTCGTTAGAAGTAACTGATTGATTTGAATTTGAATTACATTCTTCAGATCGTTTATTAGCTTTCAGTTGCTTAACTACTTCTTCAATAGGCCTGTGTGGAGAGTATTTTTTCTTCTCTGAATCATTTTTTCTGTCTATAATTGTACCCTTGACTCTAGCTATAGGCCTAACTCTACCTACATTTTTGTTTATAGGACTACGGAAGTCTGATAAAATACTTTTCGGTGAGTCAACTTTTTCTGTAAATGTATAAACATCAATCTCGGGGCCTTGTGATACAAGTGTATTACTAATATATTTATCTTTAGTATTGTCTTCTGACTTTGTTTCAAATTTCATAGATAAAAATCTTTCAGACATACTTAGATTTCCTTTTGAGTTTTTAAAACATTTTACATCTATGTCCACTGTTCTAGGAGATCTGCTAGAAGTAAAAAATTTTGGAGGTCTTTCAGTTTCTGTTTTTGGAATTTCCGGATTACTTGGTGAAGTAATATTGGTAGAGATTTTTATTAAAGACGAATTAATATCCTTATTTTCAATTTTTTCCTCGGACTTGGTTTCAATGGCTTTTTCATGTTTGATATCTGATAATATATTTTTGCCCTCAACTGATTTTTCATTCTCGTCTTTTTTACCGGTACTTTTAGTAATTTCATTTTCTTCTCTTTTCTGTTCTTTTTCTGAATGTTCTTGTTTTACTTGGCTAACATTCTTGTTCTTCAGATTGGTCACCTGTCCTTTCTTAATCACAGTTTTGGCTTTAGAATATTTTGATGCATTTTTTTTAATGACATCTACATTAATTTTGTACTTTACATCATTGTCCGTTTCAGTGACCTTCATATTAGGTTTGACGTTTTTAATTTTTTTCGTTACTTTTAAAAACTTTTTAGTTACTATTTTCTTCACATTATGGTCTTGACTATTTTTAAGCGAATCTTCCTTCTTTTTGGGTTCTTTCTTGTTCTTTTTTGTCGGCGAATCACTTCGAGGATGACTGGATTTAGACGGTCCTGCTTTAGTATTTTCTGGCGACAATGACGTCTCAGTGTTTTCGCCAACTGATTGTTCTCCATCGTTTTTGTTATTAATAATATCATCTTTAGAAGAATTCTTTTTAGGATTTTTAACCACAGTTTTGTTTAAAAGAGTCTTTACTTTTTTCTGACATACGGACTTTTTCTTAGTTTGTTTTGTATTTGAGTTTGCCTTAAAAGTCGTTTTACTCAGGGCCCCTTTCTTAGGTAAAGGTTTTGTAGCCTGTGACCGCATTGTCTGCTGTGGTCAGATCAATGTTACGCACATTGATGGGGCGATGCTGGTTTTCGCATTCTGAAACAAGGAAAAGTTGTGTTATGCAAACTAAATGAAATATTCCAACGCAAAGATTAGTCAATTATATTATAACCCGTTGTAACCAACCATCAAAAGATGCCCCGTTCATAATAGAGCAAAAAAACCTTTTATTGTATGATTTGCCGCGCGACAGATGGTCGTTATTGAACTACCAATTCCTTTATAACATAACGGACTCGCAGGTAAGTACTATGGCATAATAGTGACAGAAGATTGATGTTATATTATTATATTATAAATTTAGGCTACTATTAACATATAATAATTATTCATATTATATTAATTTGTTTATAAAAAATAAACATCTCAATCAAAATGGAACTTTGTTCTGAGGAAAAATTATATATGAATAAAATATTATATATTTGAAAATCGATTTAGAATTTATAAAAATATATACAAAAAGAACAATTTGGGAAGCTTAGAACGATACATGGATATAGACAGTTAAACAATGTCACTGAATCGTAGGCGATCATGTGTAATATGAAATAGGAACAAGAATTCATTATTTAAATAATATTTTTAAGAAAAATAATAGAATAACATTGTGTTCTAAAATTAAGTTTAAAATTTTACATGTCCGGTATATGTAGATATTTATATTTAAAAAAATATACATATAAACTGAAATATGTATATGATACAGTTTAGTTATATGTATTAGCGTATTTAAGTTTTTTAATGGGGGTCTGGATCCTTTAAAAGGCATGTATGTACTCGTACTCTCAGACATGTCTTTTTGAAGTTTTACTCGCACTCCTGGAGTGGACGTCAGACAATTTTATGATGGTCACGGCCCACCCAACTCTATCTTAAATACGGTTATATGGCCCCTAATTTGTTTCTTTTAAGTTAATCTTTACCAATCTTTCAAAATATACAGTTTTTATGAGCTCAAGTAGAAATGTCATTAGCAGAAAAACAGCGTCCAGTTTACTTTAAAATATTCCTATTATAATAAATCTGAAACTGAAGTATTTGTGTCCTTGTTAACTATTCATCAATAAAATAAAAAAAAAAAATGCAATGCAAAACAAATAGTATTAACATTTTATTAAAAAAAGTTGAAGGCGGAATATGTAATAAATTCCCGCCAAAGTAAACATCTGCCTCGATAAACATATGCGCACACGCACGGCTGATCGTGTATACGTGTATTTGGAGAAAAAAAGGTCCAAAGCTAACCGAATTTTATACCTGTGGACACGTGCCCAACCGTCGTCATTAAACCAGATAAAAAGTAAAGATAAAATTAGCATATGTTAACATAAGAAACAAAGGTGATTTTTTATTGTGCTGAATATCACTTCTTACAGAAAATTATTATCTAGGAATGTTTTGTTTGTAAGCAGGTATATATTGTAATATATATGATATGATTAATCTAATTTTCACATTAATATAATACTCGTGTTCGTAACATTTAACAATTTACCTATATTATTTTATTATAAGTATATTTTAATCGTATATGTATAAATAAATGTCCTTTATTTCTTTTTCCATTTTTTTTTAATCAGTTATACGTTAAAAAAATGAAAAATTTAATGATAATTGAAGCAAAGAATAACGGTAAGAATAAGAAATATGTCACTAAATTACGCTTATGAGTCCTTGAGTCTAAGCCTGTACAAAGAGTAATCTGTTATACGCTACAACGAAACTAAAGATAAACACAATGAGAAAGTGAGTTTGTTTGTTACCTCTTAGTACTATAACGATTTATGTATATATATATATATATATATATATATATATATATATATATATATATATATATATATATATATAAAAAAATATATATATGTGTGTGTGTATATATATATTCGAGCGCGCGTATGACAACAAAATGGCCGATCCGTTGGTTTTCGTCCATTTTTATAGTTGCGGCGAGCGGTGGGGAGACTTAAGTAGGGGATACCGCTAACAATATATATATATATATATATATATATATATATATATATCACTATGAAATTTGGTATACTTTTATTATATGGGATAGTGAAGGACAAACTATTTTTTTTATTACCGTCAGTAAACATATCCCAGTTACGCGGGCGGAGGCGCGGGTGAAAGCTAGTATTCATGTATTTGGTGAAAGTCAATTTTGTAATAAAAAATGTGTAAATTGTCTAAAATCTGAATCAATACTTTCACAAACATTAAAGTATACACAATAGAAATTTAACTGTTATTACGGCCATTGAATGACCGTGTAAAAAACAATTATGTATCTATAAAATATATGAGAATTCGACGTGTCAAATACTTTTGACACGTCTAATTTTACTAAACAAAAGATTAGAAAGAAATTAGACAAAATGTGAACAGTACTTTCATGGGATAACAAAGATATTCAAATATACCTTTGAAATCCAGATGTTCTGAAATAAAAAAAGCTAATAACTGCTTATTCGAAAACAAATTTAAGACTAATTTAGTCGTCGTGAAATGAAACAGAGGTCGTAAAAACAGTAATATTCATTGTGAACGTACATTTTGAGCGCTAGCTCGGCAGAGAAGAGAATGCGGTACTGAACTATTCCAATAAAAGTTTTAAACGGCCTTCAGTAGTGTTTCTGTGAATACTAAATAATGTTACAGGATATCTGTATTGCTTAATTAACCTTTTGACCACTTGGCATTGTAGCAGTTGCTGTACTCCTAGTGCTTAACTTATATCGAAAACATTATTTTTAAAACATTTCTGGCCATGAGGAGTTTTTTTTTACTATTATAACAGAAATAATAGGGGAGGTCTATGCTCAGTAGTAGATAGTTTACGGCTGATAAGAATGAATGAATGAATGAGGTACAAAAAATTAAGAAAAAAATATATATATGAAGTTTTAATAAAACCAATAGAAGTCAAAACAAACAATCCTGAAGATCTAACTTAAAAACTGACGTATGTTTTATCTTGACGTGCCATCTAATAGTGGTTTATTTAATAAGTTTTCCTGCTTCTGAAACGCGTACGTATATAGCGGATAAAAGGCTATTAAAATATAAATTTTTACGTTCCTATTTTATTAATGTGTTTAACATTAAATGTATCTAAGTAATTAAATGAAAAAAAAAAGAAACGTACAAATACAGGTTCTCTGTTGGATATATCTAACTGGGGTGGTAGGGGGAAAGGGATTGTTAGTAATGGAGACTGAGAATCCCATTGCTAGCAATATACCCAACCAGTTCGACCTCCTCGCGGTTCCCCCTGGAAACTATCATGGTTATTTCCTGATGAATTCATCATGATGGGCTAACTGGCCTGTTTTCATTTTCATCTATCACCCTTCACTGGTGCTCCGCCAGCGTATCCCGTTAGCGCAGGTTACCACACCATTTTTACCCATAAAAAAAAACTGGGGTGGTAATAAGGTTAACTAACGTGAATGATGTGTTGCTAAAAATTATTGAATAATCTTTCTATGAGAATTTCAGGAAATTTCTCGTTTCACATTTTTTCATTTTTCAAAAACAGTTATTACCATACATACATATATATTTCATGTTTCTAGACTCAAATGCGTTTATTGCAATCAGTTTCTTTTAATTTAAATTATAGATAATTAATCAGTGTATTTATAAATATGCCTCAGACAAGCAAACTTAAATATAAAAATATCCTATAATACAAAACGTTCCACATGTGGCTAACGTACTCTTTGACTTTTATGACTAATTAATAATGCCCGATGTAAAAATAAATTTAAAAAGGAACGCTCATATTGCAGCATTCACAAAAGAGTGTAAAAATAAATCTGTTTAGTTCATTCATTTTTATAGTCTACATTTAGCTGTCTTTATTTTTTTACATTAAACCTAATATTTTAAAGTACGTATTGTACTAAAAAAAAATTAAATGTGATTAATGAATTTAAACATTAGTTATCAACTATTTCTAAAACTATAAAAACGAAATCGAATTACTTTAAATATAAAGGCTTTAATCAGTCTTTTAAATTTCTTCAAGTAATTCATGTAACATACTTCATCACTTTCTCACAAGGCATATTTATGTTAATATAGAAATAAGAGTTTGAAGGAACTTGAAAAAATTGCTAGAATGGTTTTTTTTTTTTTGTTATTTCATTAAATATGATCGTGACTGATATCTTTTTGTTTTATTTTGAACACTTTTAGGACACTAAATGAGACGTATGTAATTTTAATTCCCATTGAGAATCCATGTGCACGTATAACATGATTAATTTTTATAAAAAGACATGTCAAGTTTGTTTACTAAATATGCCAACGAAAAGAAAACAGAGTGTTTTAATTATCTTGAGAGTATTTCTATGTCAACTCTATATTGTACCTAAGTGTATCATTATTTAATAAAAGTCGAGCGGAGTTATGAATTATGTTAATAATTTCGTAATTTAATCCTGGGTTGATTGTAAAAATATTAATAGAACAAACTACATAATGAATAATAAATTCAGTCTTTGTGTCCCACAGCAATGTTTTGTTTAATAAGTTTTAATTACAATTCTCGACACTTTGTAATTCAGCGGTTGCTTTCATCCGTTGTAGGTAAATAATTAAGGGATGACTGGAGCGTCTTTTGTCGAGGTAATCTAATAGAGCCTTAACAGCTGTGGCAGTCGGGCACTTATTATTGTTTGAGACTCGCTCCACCGGGGGAGTTTTTATTTTTATTGTACATGAACTATGAGAGGCACAAACAATTGTACTTTATCTGTGTTTTTGGTGTTCCATTTTATTAACTGTAGTATTAAGTATATATATTTTCTATATAGATTACACAAAAAAATTTTAACGTAAAAATATTATCAAAAAGTTAAAAAAAGCAAGCCTATAATTGTTAAATAACATTATGAAATATTGCAAGGATTTCATAAAAAATATTTCTTTTAAACAGAAATAAAGTAAATTATATATAATTATATAATTTACTTTATTTAAGTATTTGAATGACAAGATTCTAACTTATAATCGCAATA